ACTCTGGAAGCTGCAAGAAAAATAAATATATTTATTGTATAAAATGATCAGTTTAAATATTGAATGATTATTGTTTTAACTAAATTATGAAATAGATTTCAGATGGTAACAATATTTAATTCAATTAAAATCAGAGATACATTTTATTGACCATTTATTAAAGTATAGTATATGAAAACGCAACAAAAAGAATAGCATGAAGCACATACTAAATTCCATTGTTTCAATTACAAGTTCATGTTGTAATCATGAATATATCACCGTAAATGGAAGAAAGAGAATATAGTAGAAAGATATTTTGTTAGTGGAATGATAGCAAAACAATAATACTTAGGCCTATGATAAACCGATTCACGAACTAAAATATATAGAGCCTAGGCATATTAAACTTTTCGTTTTCGCAACTCCTTCGGCGCGCCATAATAAACCGCGACCGAAACGAAGCGCGACCGAAATGATCGGCTACCGGGTGCCTACGGCCGCATATGTCATTTGTTTTTGTTATTATATACCTCTTAACAGAATTTATTATACAATAAATTGTTTAAAATTAGAATTAGGCTAAGTAAGGCTAGCATAATATATTGATTACCTGTCCTTGTCCTCCTAGAGTAATTTTCAAAATTCATCATTTATTTATAACTTTAGAAGAAATAATATGAAGCTGAAGTCAGGTTGATCAAATCATTATAATGAATTTGTGAATATGTAATAATAACTACAATAAAATCCTTTTCTTTTTCAATTGGGACCCATATGTGTGGTGTGCACGAAGGAATGTGGTTCACACAAGTGTTTTGAATGCAGAAGGCCTGTCCATATTATACCACCATGCTTAGGTGAAGGTCCAAGTGTTATAGAAGAAGGTTATGGTGTAGACGTGAGGTGTGCAATATGTTTCGATGGTAAGAAATAACCTTCATTACTGTATAAATGGAACTCCAAATGGCACTCTAACCCTAATAATAAATATACTTAGATGGCTTTCTAGTTACAATGCAGTAAACCAAAACGGCAAAGAAACCAAAACTGTAACACATTTTCAGCAGAATGGCATGGACCAAAACGGCAATAAGTCGAAACGGCAATAACCAAATAAATAAATAAATCTTAAAAATACAAACAAAATGAGGCTACAGCAGTTTATGGCATAGAAGTAAAGATTCGAAAAACATTAATAATAATAATAATAATAATAATAATAATAATAATAATAATAATAATAATAATAATAATAATAATAATAATAAAAGTAATAACAGGCCTACAATAACAATATAACAACATATAAATTCAATAATAAAATGATCAGGGGAAACAACATAAAAGCAGTAAACATCCAAATAAAAAAGTTTAAAATACAAAGTTGTGGTAATCCATTTGACATTTAAATTCGCCATTTATTTAGTTATTTTTTAATAAAACATTTCATTCAAAGAAATAAATTAAAGTGAGATACAGTGTTGTCAGTTATTAGGTTTACAGTAATTCATTTTTGATCAGTCTTTATTTCTGTATAATATCGCTAAAATTCCTGATGTTTAATGACATTATAAAAATTCAATTACAACAAATTATTATGTATTCTACACCACTATTTGCCATTTTCTCAGGTGCTCTGTCCGATACATCAACGCCTAGTAAACAGAGGCTGGAAAGTAGTAAGTTATTTAAAAATACAGAACTTAATAGAATTTCATGATTGAATTAAATCTTATTTTTTTGGTGAATTTACACTGTTCACATGATGAATTTACTGTCCAATTTAAAAAAAAACAAAAACAAATGAATACAGAAAAATACAAATTTTATTATTACTGTACAGGAAATTTGATAGTAATAGTGCAGCTAAAAAGGTAGGTGGGATAATTCTACTTACGTTGTGTACTCATTGTCCCATTTTATTTTCAAATTTTGTAAAGATGAAAGCTACAATGACGATGCTATTATGCCTACTACTTTAAGACCCGAAGCAGACATCATTAATATAGCCGATAAAGGTGCTGTTTCAGATGCAGAACAAACTCCTATCAAAAGATGTAAGTGCTGTGTTTTATTCATGATGGGTATAACTTCTTTCTCGATATTACATACCTATGTTGTAGCTGTAGAAAATTAAGGGTGGTTGAGATAAGACATTTTAAGGATGGGTGGGTGATAACATTAGTAAACGGATGGAAAAGTGGGTTAATAACGTTGGTTGGAGGGCCATGAAATTAGTTTCAGACTGGGTGGAAAACTTCAAGGATGGGTGTCCCCGCCCACCATAACTACATCCCTGCTAGAATCCCCAGACATTGTGACAGTTCATTTTTTTAAAATAACTAATTAGCTTTTAGTTTTAAAATGTTATGTACCTCAAAAATATAAAATAAGTGATCAAAAGTGTTTGGTTACAGCAGATGCCACAGCAAATACTGTACAGTATTTGTTTACTTACTGTACTTGTTTTACCCTGTTATCCGTTTTTTTTATATATATGGTAATTTCTTTATATTTCCCTATGAATTTTATATTTTAATTTTGCAATAATTCCTATATTGTATAATAAAAGCACAAATTTTCCTATATTTTAGTGGCAAAGGGAAGAAACACTGGTAAGCTGCCCAAAAGTGAACAAAATGTTAGGTCACTTGCAAAGCATTTAAAGGACCAGATGAGGGAAAATAATAGATTCTGGAAGTCAACAATGAAGGAGCAAATAGAGCAAGTAAAGGAAATTGCTGAAGAGGAAAGAGCAGCAATAAGCCGTCTGCATAATACGCTTAATGAAGGTTTAAAGCTACAGCAGAACTATGTCGCCACAACTCAAAGAAACCAAGAGCGGTTGCTGGCTGTATTGGAAAGAATGGTGCCAGCACAACCACAGTAATTGCAGCTTCATCCCAACCTGTTTCCAAATCCTTTTTTGGGCAACTTGAATAGCAACAATTATTAACTTTATCTCAAATCTAGTCTTGTATATATACAGTATGCAGTTCATCATTCATTGACCATATTGACTCATTAATTATACTGTATATAAATTTAAAGCATTTATCAATCCCATTGATGCGCTGTTTACAGTAAAATTATTTGTTATGTTCTCTGTTGTATTTAGAATTTATTAGCCACAGTTTTCCTAGCAGAGATCGCACCCCCTCCTTGCCAAATTATATTTATATAAATGGATTGTTGTATTTTTTTAATATAAATTACAGTACCAGTTAGATTTTAAAGTTATGAAAGTGCAATTTCTGGGTTCGTATTCTTAAAATGTTCATGCCTTACCCACAACCATTTTGGCGCTGAGATGGTGTGGACTCACACCCCCTACGGCCAAATTCTGCATCTGCCCCAGCTTAGACGTCGTCAAAATAATAAATTGTGTGAAATATTATTGTTACATTTTTAATTTATATACTGTAGTTTGATATGTACAATTCTTTAAAAAAAGATCCCCATAATAAGGGTTGAAAATTTATTTATTTGACCTTTTGGGTTGGGTTTGTAGTGATAAAGGAAAGGTTGCCATGTGATGTACTTGTTAATTTTTGTGTTATTGTTTAATAAATGAAGCTTGCTTCCAAAGAGAAAAGAATCATGCAATTACTGATTGATGAATGAGTGAAATACTGTAAACAAATGCAACAGCAACTATGTCCTTTTCAATTTTTTAATTTCAAAACAAATTATTTTAAACAACTGACAGATATTTTGGAATTCAAAATTTCATATATTTGATTATTATCCAAAATGCATTGTTATCGTAATCTAGATGCGTTATTCTTCTTTTATGGCTTCCCTTATTTTTTCCCCTGTGGTGTCATACGGCCAAGGATTATTGGTTGGTCCTTCTACAGGACATCCTTGTTCCAATGTTGTTTGTAGGGGACACGGTTACTCTCCAGAATGTTGTGCAGTACACAACATGTTTGTATAACATGTCTCAAATTCCTTATGTCATGTTGGTTTTTATTAAGGAGGAGCCGCCACCTCCCCTTTAATCTACCAAAGGCAATCTGAACCACAACCCACTGCACTGGGACAATTTGTAGTTTTGCGCCGGTGTTAATCTATTTCGCCCGAAATAGGGTTAGCATAAGATTTTTCATTAGGGGATATGCTGGGTCACCGATTAACATTAAAGGTACCTCAACATCCTGCACCTGCACTCGTCTGTTAACATTGAATAGCGTTCCATTTTTTAGTTTTGTGTATAAAGCAGATCTTTTTAGCACACGAGCATCATGAACGCTACCAGGCATTCCAACGAATGTGTCGCAGAAAAGTCCATTTGAATCAACACATGCCT